TAAAGATGTGGGCTCAGGACCCATTTTAAAATCGTTAGTGGGCGATTGTGGGCGTTAGAGGGGGCGTGGCGCTCGGCTAAAATAAACTTGCGCTGCGTAGGAAGCCAAAGAATATGTGTGGAAAATCTCAACCTTCTAGCTTTTGTAGTTTCTGAGATCTCAGAGTTCATAGAGACGGACAGACGGACAGACAGACAGACGGACATGGCTAGATCAACTCGGCTAGTGACCCTGATCAAGAATATATATACTTTATGGGGTCGGAAACGCTTCCTTCTAGCTGTTACATACTTTTGCACGAATCTAGTATACCCTTTTACTATACGAGTAACGGGTATAAAAATAGATGGAAAAGCCTTTAAATAAAATATTTAATTTTAAATATATAAAATATATTTTCCATCTTTTTTAAACTCTTCAAATTTATTTGTAAGGACTAGTTTCTAGACAAAACATCATTCAAAGTTCCTTTAATTAAATGTGACACTCATGGCCGTAAACAACATGATTTCACATGACTTACCTTCACTTCTGGCACTTAATGCCGAATGTTTTATGCCATTGAAAAGGGACACATTCGAGTTGGGAAGCCCATTTTGCCACATCTTTACCCCCTTTGCTCGTGCATTTCATTTTATATTTCTCATATTTACATGGAATATTTATGGCGCCGAACGCAGGGACACTGCAATGAGAAGAAGTGACAACTTTTTGCCATTTTGTCAACGTTTTTCAGGATTTTTCCATATTTATTTTACTGCTACTCTTTGGGTTTTGTTTATTTTTGTGTGAGCAGCAAACCAGAACGAGTAGTTCATTAGTTTTCAACTGTGTTTGGCTGAAGCTATTTCTATTTTGCAGCTGCATGTGGCCAGAAGCATCAAAGCATCGTTCCGGGCCATCAGCCAGGAGTCCTATTCCTTTCAGGAGCCGCTCCTCCTTCGCCTTTCCATTTCCCATTTTCCGTTTCCCAGGCGCCTTCTGCTTTTCTCATGGCACAGTAATGTGAACAGACTGCGGCTGCTGCCACTGGCTTTTGTAATGAAAAGTTGTGGCAACTTGTTGTACGTCATGATTTGAACCCATTTCCCATATTCCATTTCCACAGCACCATCCCCATGCCCTTTGCACTTTTTTAGTTTCTCCCTGAAAGTTACACATGCTGATACCGATATGGTATGTAAGTATTTTAAAGTTGAAACATTTCCAAAATGAAACATTTCTCATTAATTAACAGAGTTGCAGGCAAAAAATTTCGTTGCACAGCTATTTTATGGAAATATTTTTGGTGAAGTAATTAAGAGCTGGTTTAAAATTATTTAATAAATCGTAAATCGTATTTATACCTTTTTCTTTCAGAGTTGTAGGCCTAATCATCGTTAAATCAACACTTCCTGTTAAGTAAGAATGTGGAATGAGGCAAGAGATACCTTATATGCCTGACATCCTGAGTGATTTTTCGTGTTTGTTAATCGTTTTCATGTATGTATTTCTTTGCTCCTTAAAAGGAAGGAACTTTGATGGCGTCATAGATATGTTAAGTACTGTACATCCGAGAAAAATCTGACTGACGTACGCATTAAGTGTACAATACCAGCGAATCCCTCTTCAAGGGAACGCGGGGGAGCATTTGTTGAGTTTACTACCGTTTAGATACCGATAAGAAGAAACATCTTTAACTGTTTTCAGCTTGGTGCACAAGAGCTGCTTTTCGAGTTGTTTCAATTCGCTTCGATTGCAAAAGTTTTGCCAATTCTCAGTTCGTTTATCAACTTCTTGTTGTCTCTATGGTAAAATACCAGTAAGGTTACGCGAATGTTCAGCCCTCTTACTTGAGTCAAAAGTGATTCAAATAGTTTGCAAGTCTACATCGGTTAGTTTACAGGAAGCAAGTTCAATTTGTTGTGGCCCACAATTTTTACAGACCTTCAATATCGAATCATAAATTTCCAGATACCGCATTGCATCATTGGGCAAATTGCTGAAGCAACAGTAGCCACTAAAATTGGGGAAACTACTCCATGTGACACACGTTCCCGCTTTCTTTCTTTCTTCAGCAGTTGAGGACATCAATTTACTTTTATTTTCCTCCATGCTCGTGGCTACTTTTGGGAGTTTTCCGAAAAAGGGTTGCTCGAGGAAAAAAAAAATAAAAGACAAAAAATGTAACGATAGGTGGGATATCCTATATTTTTGGATTATCACAAGTTCTATTTCAATCGATTTAATAAATAAAATATTAAAATTTAAACTAAATATTATAGAAAACTTAAAAGCATTTAATAACATTTTATTTATTTTCATGTATATTTAAAAAAATTTATACAAAAAGTTTAGATTGAAAGTAACTTTTACAAATCGCAGGGAAGCATCAACACTTTACGAAGGCTAGGTACTACAAAAAAAAAAACATTTTCCCCCTCTTTCAATTTCCCGCACATCGATAAACTTAAACCTTTGGTTGGCGATTCAATTCAATTGATTCAATTGGGATTGTATCGGGCTTCGTTTTATGCTCGTTTTGGCCAACACATATTACGAGTTGAGTTTTAGCCACATCCCCATCCCGAGTGCCTCACTTATCTGTTGCCAAAATGGTCCATGTCTCCATTTTTTCCATTTTACGTGTGTGTGGGACATTTTCCCGAAATGTAATGCTAGACGGGGTGCTACTTTTTTTATTTCCCATTTTTTTTGGGTACCCACTTTTACGAGCCGATAATGTTATTGGCGTAGGAATTTTATGAATTGACCATTTTCATTTGGCCGGGATATTTGATATTTTCCCTATGACTTGTGCAATTTGCATAAGAAATTGTGTCACGACTAGTTTCGTTACACTTCATTCCATTTCTTTTGTGCATATTTCAGCTGGGCCTGGGAGGTTTTAAGTTGGGAGTGGAGTACGCTCTGGATCGACTGGAATTTGTGCTCTTTTCGAGCTATCTTGCCGGTTCATCGTCTCCTTTCCTCGGGATTCCTTTGTCTGCAGGACAAAATATTTTGCGATTTTGTGGACGGTTCCCACAGTGGTTTGGGATTAAATGGCCCCGGCTGTGAGGATGGAAGATGCAATGCGGTCGGAATTTGATATGTGTTTGATGAAGACCGGATGAAAAGCTCTTAGTCAGATCAGGTGGGTTCGAAATTTGTTTGAAAGTTTTCACATACTTTTGTTAGATGTTGAGAATTTTGTATTTTTTAAAACATAAGTTTATAAATCACACTGTTTATTGATTAAAAAAATTTTAAATAAAAGTTACAAGATTATTATAAATTTTTAATTTATATTTCTTTTGGATAGATGTTAAGAAATGTATTTTTAATTATTTTAAAATGTATTCATCGCATGTTTTAATAATTTTGTTCTATTGTGAATGCATAAAAAAAGCTGATTATAAATCTTTGCCTTAAAAAAGGTGCACTTTTTCCAGATAACAAATAAATTGAAAACCAACTTAACCAAGGAAAACACATTGAAGAATTCATTCTTAGAGCTCACTGAAATTGTTGCATTCTCTCTCGTTTATTCCTAAGTAAACAACAACCCAAGTCGGATGCAAAAACTTTACTCGGTACTTAACTCTCAAAAACCACAGTGCCTCGAGGCAGGCCTCATGTGTGGGTGTACTTCTGTGAGCGACTGTCAGCATCGTCTGCACTTTGACACTCGCACAGAGTTGCATTCCTGCCATTGAGCTATTTGGCTCGAGTGGCAACCGAAACTTTCGAGCCAAAAAATAAAAACTTTCCCCCAGAAGAGGAAAACTTCTGGCGGACGGGGAAAACTTTTTTGTTCTGTTTGCTGCTCCTTCGGATTAATATTTTCTTTGCCTGTCTTCCGCTTCCATTTTTTAGTGCATTCCTCGGCGTTTGCCTTCTTTTCGTCTTGTTACTTATTTGTTGTTGTTCCGTCCCCGGTACTTGAAATGCAATTTCTAAGAAAAATTCCTCTCAAGAGTATCAAAATACACAACGACGAGCTTTTTTTTGCTTGGATTTTTCTTTTCTATGTCAGCGAAGTCCATTGAACGTCAGTTTAGATTTTGTTTACACGTCAATTTGGTTGTATACAATCAGATGTCTTACACTAGAAGGGATCTTAGATATTATTTGAAAGTAAATCCGTATTTATCAATTATTTTTCAGTATCCCTAAGAATTCCCCTTTAAATTGGCCGTTGCCTTTAACAAGAAAAGGCAGAAAAATTTCCAGAAAGCACCAAAACCATGTACAAGTGCATTGTTTTTCAAGTTAACAGACTTTTCCTCCAGATCCTTTCTCTCCGTTAAAGACAACAAACCACACCCGAAGGACCGACATTTTAAATGGCGCACTAAATTACTTAAACACACCCACACAACATATACAAATTTGCATGCTTACAACATCTCTTCCGACTAAAAAAAATTATCTTACGACTTCTAGCTAAAAGATTCGACATGTTGTTTCCCGGTAACAAATACAAAATATTTTTTAAATTATTAAAAATACATTATCTTGAAATCAAAGGGGTAATCTGATTACAAGATTAGTAAATAACAAAATGAGTAATACAGCTAAATGTATTACTATAATAGGGGTATAAAAAGTGTTATTATCAAATAAAATATAAAAAGTTTATTCAAATCTCTTAAAACTTGTCTCAAAAAGTCGACAAGATGTGGCTTTTGATGCTGATCCTCTGAACCTAAAGACTAAAGGGTATAAATGCAACTTACTGCTGAGAATACAATTTACGCTTTTGCAGGCATTTTTCATGTGGTTCGCTGCTGCCGTTGGAGAAACTTTTTATGGCCGCCACAGCCCCCAACAAATGCGCTCTTGTTTTCGGTTTTTCGGTTTTAACCACCCACATGTGTGTTCTGCCTGCATGAAATGTGCATTTGGTTGACAAAAGTTCAGAAAACTAATTAGGAAAAGCGCACTGGAATAATAAAATTGAAGGCGAATAAATTTTCAAATAAAACTGAAGGTGATGTAGGCCTAATATTTTTTAAACGAATTTTTATTCAAAATACATGGTCAAACTTGCAAGAAAAATGAACCCTACAAGGAAATTTAAGTATTGTGAAACCGATTTGAGATTGGTACTTTCCGGTGAAGAGTTTTTGGTATTATTTGCCCTATAATACTCTTTAACGTATTTGTGGACTCCCTCGAAAGTTAAATCTCCGTCATAACGGCGAACTTCGTCTCCGTTTTCCAGCCATATTAAATTTGGTTCATAGCGCAATTCGTAGTCGTTGCATAACGTTTCAGCATTTTCACAGTTCATTTCAGCAAAGCAAATGTTTCGTTTTAGTCTGAACGATTTGGCCAATTCAATCCAGGTACTCTCAAAGTCTTCGCAACCCATGCAATTCGGTTCATAGAACTTTACGAAGAATGTGCCACTTGCCGTGGTTTCGTAGAAATTATCTGGTGTCAGCAGAAGGACCTTGCCAGGAGTACAATCATCTTGGGATCTGGGTTCTACACTCAAATGGAGAACTGCGGTTATATTGAATGGCTCTTCGGTCGAAAATATTTCTGTACGAGCTTCGCAAATCAATATTGCCAGTAGTAAATAATGAAAGTACAACAATTTAGGCATTGTATTTATTTTTGTAAATTTTTTCAACGCTTACTTTGACTCAATATTATTTTACACGTATCTTTTACCTTTCGATGGTGTTCTTGGGTTTCCATATTATTTTAGTAACCCCAGGTCATCAATAATGAAACTAAACAATTTGTTTTAAATTTTTTTTATTTCTTCAAAAAATTTATAGATTTAGTAAGGTTAGTTCGGCTTATAGAGTTTTAGAAACTTGAGGAGACTTTGCTTACAAGCTAATTTCACATGCTCAGAGTATGTAAGGATAGTTCGGTTTTTGTATGATATACGATAGAGTTTGGGTAGAATGTGAGTAGATCCATTAAATTAGTCCTCAGAGCCATTGACCGCCTTCGTTGAGTTTGCGGGGATCGATGTTGAGGCCGAGTTTCTCCAGTTTGCGCACCTTTCTCATTTGCTTGGTCAACCGCCGCTTGAAGTTGATTTCCTGGTTGAGATTCATGATCTCCATGGTATCGTACTGCCGAATATTTTTGATTGTCTGCAGAATTAGATTGTCGGTGAGATGCAGTTTGATCGTGGACATCTTCATGAATGGAGCATCGCGGCGTCGCAATTCCTCCCTGTAGGCGAATAGAGTGTAGTGAAGCGATGGCAGCGACGGCAAAGGACGCTCCAGTTGTGGGAAGAGTAACTCGGCCATTATATAGACACTAACTGAATTGCTGAATGAGGATCTGAGTGCTGCGGAAAGATCTGTTCGCTTTGAGTGTCCAGATTGCAGTGCTGTCTTTTGTCAGGGGTCCCTGATTTTTATACCATCGCATCCAGCTACCTGCTCCTGTTTACAAGGAAATCTCAGATATTCCGGGGAATTCCCGGAGCAAAAGGCAGCTGGCGCTAGACAATTTAGCTACCTGCTGAGACAGCTGCAAGTGACGTTTTCTTCTGAGCACGCGATTAGGCAGGATTTTCCTCATCTTGCAAAAATATTTCCCTTAGCTAACGTACAGTCTAACTTCGATAAAGGTGTCACAAGAAAATAAAAATGTATTCTTATAATTTTAGAAACTAAATGTTTCTTTAATTTTCGTAAAGTAATCTCTTTAATTATAATAACAAAGTTATTACATAATATCTAGTTGAAGGTGCACAAATGTACCATCCTCACATTGTAATTAGATTTACTAAAAAAAAAATTATTTAAAAGAAAATGACATGTTTATTTGTACCTTTATAATTATTATTATATTATTATTACACAACATACCAAACCTATAATTAATTATGAGCATAATAGTTAGTTGAGGAAACTCAAGATTTAAAAATAATATCTACCTAAGGACTATAATTTTGAGTTAAATAGAATTTTGCTTGGTGGTCGATGCTAAAATTTTAAAGAGCTCGTGACCTAGAAAATGAGAGAGAATACAGGCAGAAAAGGAAGGAAAAAAATTATTTTTTCTCCATTCATTCCACTCGTTTTTGGCGTAATTTTACGGTCATTTGAAATTGTTTTCCTTTACGTTCGTTAGAGCCGTGTCCTGCCGCCTGGCATCGCAATTAAAATAAATTGCATTCACTCAAAGGATTGACGACAGCTGAAATCTGCATGGCCATGTGAGGACCGGCCAAAGGTTGAGCTCAAAAAATATTTTATAGAATTCCACTTTCATTCATTTAATTAGTTCAGCTTACTCGAAAGCCCACTAGAGTCAGCAACAAATTAAACGCCATGAAAATTAATGAACGAAGGAAATTGCTTTGATTTCAACGGCTTTTTCTATTGCATTAATTATTTGATTAAGTTAAAAAGGAAATGGGTATTTTTACTGAAATATTTATGGTTAGCATGTCATAATAATTCTAAATTCATTAAAATTAAAAAACCTTTTAATTATTTGCCCTAAAACTGCAGCCAAATTATAAGCACTGTTTATGCATACCAATTCATTTGTCATCGGAGTTCTGCCATCAAATTTATGTTATTTTATATTGCTTGTTTTTACGCGCGAATACGTTGTAAATTAGTTGAACATAACAAATGTCGCCATTTAATTAGGCAGAATATTTCAATTACGCCAAATGTCAGTGCCACATTCTGAATTGCAAATGATGTCACCGAGGAGCAAGCTAATTAAAATCGAGAATATTATTTATAATTTATATATTTCGGGGTTTTCCGTACCATATTCTGTGGTTTGGTTTGCCTGTCATAATTTAGACGGTGTCCAAATGACCAGAAACCAATAAAACTTTATCCGTGTACGCATAATATTAATTTTTGGAAAGCTATGGCAATAATAAGCCAATGTTATGTATGAATTTGGTAAATCTTTCAGCAATTGTGAATATTTTATTTAGAGAGGACAACCAAGTTTTTCCCCATGTTAATAATTTAGCATGGTAAACAAAAAGTCTGAAAAGTTAGGAGTTAGAAAAGTGAATGTCAGTAGATATAACCTGTTTAATGGAAAAAACCGGCAAGTCATGTGAGAAAACCACAACAGACTCGACCCTATAAAAGGCTTTTTTACCGATTGAACTTTATACTCAAGAAGTGACCACGGTAAAGATGTTGAGAAAATTGTTTCCGTACATCAAGGAAAAGCCATTGAACGAGCGGGTTCAATCGCGCGATGCCTTCATTTACTTGGAGCGGGTCATGTGGACCTTTGGCTGGACAGAACCTTATGAGAAGAGGTGAGTAAAATAAACTTTTACTAAACATAATTAATATTTACATTTAAAGATGGACCGGAGTTTACAATGTTTGGTGTTTTATGACAAGCATTGTATTCTTCATTCTACTGCCGATTTCGATAGTCGTGGAATATGTCCACCGTTTCAGGAGTTTCTCGGTAGGGGAGTTCCTCAGTTCCCTTGAGATTGGTGTTAACATGTATGGATGCTCCTTCAAGAGCACCTATACTCTGTTTGGTCAAAGAAATGTGCGAAGGGCCAAACTGGTTTTGGATCGCCTAGACGAAAGATGCAGTCGCGATGAGGAGAAGTCCATGGTGCATCGCTATGTGGCCCTGGGCAACTTTTGCCACGTCCTGTACCACACTTGTTACTGGGTCTATGTGCTCACAAACTTTGTGGGTTTTCTGCTGCTCGGTCATCATGCATGGCGCATGTTCATCCCAATGCTCAAGTCGGACGAACATTTTCTGATCTCCAGTGTCGCGGAATTTCTGCTAATGCTCTACGTGGTGACCATGGATCAGTGCTCGGATGTTTGTCCCATGGTCAGCATGCTGATGGCCAGATGCCACATCAATCTGCTCAGGAATAGGGTGATGCATCTTCGATCGAATCCAGAAACAGGCGCTGATGAGGACTTGGAAGAGCTAACCAAGTGCATCCAGGATCACCGGTTGATATTGGAGTAATTATTTAGTTTTATTTAATGATGTTTCATGTTTTCTATTATTATTATTAATAATAGCTATGTCAACATTCTGCGACCCGTCTTCTCGGGAACCATTTTTGTGCAGTTTCTGCTGATTGGCGTGGTTTTGGGCCTCTCGATGATCAACGTTATGTTCTTCTCAACTTTTTGGACCGGGTTAGGAACTTGCCTCTTCATGTTCGACGTTTGCATGGAGACATTTCCATTCTGTTATCTGTGCAATATGATTATCGACGATTGCCAGAAGCTTTCCGACTCTCTATTTCAATCGAATTGGATGACCGCCGACCGACGCTATAAGTCCACTTTGATGTTCTTTCTTCACAACCTACAGCAACCTATTATCCTCACGGCAGGAGGAGTTTTCCCTATTTGCATGCAAACCAATTTATCTGTATGTTGAATCAATATTTACTCTCGATTTTGATGTAATTCCTTGGCTTTTTTAAGATGGTAAAGTTGGCGTTTTCTGTGGTCACCGTTATAAAGCAATTCAACATTGCCGAAAAGTTTCAATAGGATGGAATATAAAAAGGATAAAGTCCTGTAATGGAATGCGTTAGGCAATTAAATAGCACATTTTGTAATTTGGCAAATAGTAAGACGCACGTTTAAAAATTATAACACTCAAAGTAATTTCTTATTAAAGAAAGTATAGTAGCACTCAAAATTATAAATAATTGAAAAATAAATGTATCTTTTACTTCAAGAGTAAAAGAAAAAACCATTCTTATAAAGTTTAATTGTACAATACAGACCGTAATTAAACTTTAAATTCCGTCGCTTCATCAGCAGCCAGAAAAAAATTGTAAATATTCCGATTAATTAACAGAACTGACAAAAGATTCTAGGGCACATTGACGGTTTGTCTCCTGCAAATGCATTTAATTTGCCCATGTGCGGAGGTCCTTTTGAATGCCTCTGTGTCTGGATGTCTGTCCTCAACGCCAATGAGTCAATATTATTACGGTCGACGCTTCGCGCTTCCCGTGAAATTGGCAAAAGGGGAAATGGCCGCAAAGCGCTGGCAAAAATGCTTTCAATTAATTAAACACCCGAAAAGCAAGGATATAATGAGAATGCAATGTGCTGTGCAAAGAGCTCTAAAGAGAGATGTTTGGCTGAGGGGAACCCACTGCGGTTCGATCGACCAACTCAATCAACAATGATGCCAATACGTACATACAAAGAAATTTAAAATTTTATAATTATTTTTAAGTTTAAATAATGTTTTAATTATATATCTGAGTATATTTTTAAATCGGATTAAAAGCTGCTTAGTTTCATAAAGGTGGTACATAAATTCTATGCAATTCTAGGAATAAAATAAAAGTGTCAAAAACTATGCTACACAAATTGTTAAAACACTCAAAATATATTTCCGCCTACTTTTAGACACCTCTGTAAGTGATTTTAAAAACTCATTTCTTACATTAAACTTATTTATATCACCATTTACTTGTAAATACATATTAATTGAAACAATTTATTTTATCTTATATTATTTACTATTAATTTTGTATACGTCATGACTTATTTTCCCATCGAAAAGAAAACTCACAGAAATGATGTTTTTAAATTCGATTCCAATCTTTTTGAAGAGTGCAGTCTGCGGTGTGCAGCTCATTAATAATACAGATAATGTGTTTGGCGGCAATCATTTTTCGGTTGCATGCCATCGCGGTGGCGCTGATTAACACCGCCAATGGTCAACGCAGTGACAGACGAAAGGCAATGATAGTGGGCGTAAAATGGGGGGGTTTTGTATTCCTCATTGGACAATGAACCGAATTCATGTCGATTTTGGTAATGTTTTACTCGGTTAATGGCATGTTAAGGTCGTGCTCTTGAACGATGGAAGAACAGCTAACGGATTCTCGGGAGCTCTGTATATCATAATTGCATTCCGGTGAAAAGTAAATTGTGGTGGATTAAATGGCCTTCTGTATGATGGGAAAATGCCATTCAGGATTTAAGCTTGAGGAAACCTGTAAATTATTTAATGCATCGTGGGATTTTCAGAACAGCAGAAATGAACGTCAATAAGCCTTGAAAATAAGTTGCAGAAACCGTCAAGTCATGTGAGACAACCATAACGGACTTCTGCGCTATAAAAGGCTTTTTTTTCCAGACTAAGTAAATATTCAAGAAGCAACCACGGGCAAGATGTTAAGCAAATTGTTTCCCCACATCAAGGAAAAGTCATTGGACGAGCGGGTTAAATCGCGCGATGCCTTTATTTACTTGGATCGGGTCATGTGGTCAATGGGCTGGACAGAGCCAGAAAACAAAAGGTATAGCATACTTTTAGACACCTTAACAAAAGATTTCAATATCCTAGAATCTCCACAATACTTTTTTTTTCAAAAGATGGAGCATGGTTTACAGTCTGTGGTCTGCTTTTATGGTCATTTTAATGTTCATCCTTCTGCCAATCTCAATAACCATCGAGTACCTTCAGCGATTCAAGAGCTTCTCGGCTGGCGAGTTCCTCAGTTCCCTGGAAATTGGGGTTAACATGTATGGCAGTTCGTTCAAGTGCGCTTTCACCATGATTGGCTACAAGAAAAGGCAGGAGGCCAAAAGATTACTGGATCAGCTGGACAAGAGATGCGTTCGGGATGAGGAGAGGTCCACTGTTCATCGCTATGTGGCTTTGGCCAACTTTTTCGATATCATGTATCACATTTTCTACACCAGCTTTGTTGTGATGAACTTTCCGTATTTTCTGATGCAGGGACGCCACGCTTGGCGAATGTATTTTCCCCTAATCGACTCCGATGAGCAATTTTTCATCTCCAGCATCGCAGAATGTATGCTGATGACGTGGTGCATTTACATGGATCTGTGCTCGGATGTCTGTCCATTGGTCTCCATGATGATGGCTCGATGTCACATTACCATTCTCAAGAATCGACTGAAGAATCTGCGATCGGAGCCGGGAAAACACGAAGATGAGTACTTGGAGGCGCTAACTAAGTGCATCCAGGATCATCGATTGATATTGGAGTGAGATAAAGTTACCATTAATTACAATTTATATATCAATATTCATTAGTTATGTCAACGCCCTGCGACCCGTTCTTTCGGGCACCATTTTTGTGGAGTTCCTGTTGATCGGTACTGTATTGGGACTCTCAATGATAAACTTGATGTTCTTCTCAACTTTTTGGACCGGAGTCGCCACTTGTCTGTTTATGTTCGACGTCTCCATGGAGACTTTTCCGTTTTGCTATCTATGCAATATGATTATCGATGATTGCCAGGAGCTTTCCGACTGCCTATTTCAATCGAATTGGACGACCGCCGATCGTCGATATAAGTCCACTATGGTATTCTTTCTTCACAATCTGCAGCAACCTATTATGCTCACGGCAGGTGGGGTTTTTCCCATTTGTATGCAAACAAATTTAGCTGTGGGTATAAGCGTTCCAAATTATACATTTCTTTTAATTACTTAATTTATTTAAGATGGTGAAATTGGCCTTTTCTGTGGTTACGATTATGAAGCAATTCAACATAGCCGAGAAGTTTCAATAAGTGGAGAAAAGCTGGATCTAATGCTACAGATATGTCTTACGGCACACACTAAGTAGGAAAATGCAAATTCAATTTTTTTAATAGTTGTAGCAGGTATTAAACAATTCAGTGCTAACAAAATGCTAAAATTATAGAAGCATGAGAAATAAAGAATCTTTACTTAATGTAGAAAGTATCAATAAATCATTAAATCAATTAATGAACGATGAAACCATTTTGTGGCGCCCCCGGGTGGACTTCGTGGAAAGTTTAAATGCAATGCATTTAAAAGTAATTCTTAAAGTTTGAAAGCATTATTCGACTGCAATGCAATAATAAAACCTTAAGCAGAGGGTTAAAAATATGAACTCTATCGCATCCCGCATTAATTTACTCCGCGCGGAAAGCCCGACAATAAAGCGCGACTTAAAGTTGGGTCAGTAAATCTACTGCAGTTGTCTCTCTCTCGCACGGAAGGCGCCTGGGGCGTGCTGTCTCTTTCCCGCCGCTGTCCACTTAATAAAGTGCAAACAGGCAAGTGATTATTTCACAGCTATTGTTCGAAAAGGATGCGGATGCGGGATGGGCCGCAAGGGGGCGTGGCCTGGGGGAGGGGGCAACAAAGGGATTTGCGTTATAACCAAAGAAACGAAGCAGAACACCCGAAACATATAAAAGCAGCAAAAAATACAATAACGAGGACGAGGAGCGCGAAAAAATTGTGCAGCGCGAATAAAAAATGTAACTAAGAAAATGTATACAATGGTGTGAAAGAGGGAGACAGCGAGATGGGTCAACTGCAGGAAAAATTTACGAGCTGCTTTATTGCACTCTCACACACACAGACATTCGCATGGACATGGTCGCGCACTCACATAAACACACTGAGTATATTGAGATCCTTTTTCACACCCTCAATCGCAGATTTCACTCTCACTTTCATTTTGAAAGCCCCTTTGAGTCCTCTTCATTTTCTACAGTTTACGAGAATAATCTTTAATACACATTGAATGGAGTTTAATCCTGATTTCGAGCAATCTTAACATATATTTATAAGACATTTTTTAAGGTTATTGTGTTGCAGAATTCTAATAAAGATCACTATCGTTTTTATTTCAGTTTTAAAGGTGCTCAAAAGTATGCACCAATTTTATATTTAGTATCTATTGACAATCCTTTTTTTCGTAGTTTGTAGTCTCTCATCCATCATTCGACTAACAAAACTTGGCATTAGAAATTTTGCGTTATGCAAATGTAGTTCCCATACTCCAAGGTCGATTCCGCAAAAAGGCTCACAAATTAGCGTTCGTCATCAATCAAATGCCGGGCTAGCAGCTCCAGTCGAGGTCAATGGGGTGAACTGCTGACGCTAATTGCAATTTGTGGTTTCAGCCAACTGCAAGTGGAGCATCAGCAACAAGCCCAAGCCCAATGCTCCGAACATCGTTTGCATTCGAGGAGCCTGATGATGGATTTCTGGATGTAGTGCCGCGAAGCCGAAAAACCGCATCGACATCATCGTCATCTTCTCCCTATTCCAGGCAATTCGATTGAAGCAGGTTCGAGACTATGTAGACGTAGCTCTGCCAACCCCTCAGAAACCAGGTAAACTCAATCAGCGGAGGAGGAGGCAGAGGCCAGGTAGCCGACATCAGGTGCGCATATTCAAATCAAGTGTTTAGTGTGGCCTCGGGGTCGCACTGCGGCCTCCTGCTTAAGCATTCTGCCTGGCTCATGTGTTTTCTTTGATCTGCAGCCTTTAAATGTGTTTCGAGGAACTCGTATAAAATATTCAATAACTTCCTTCATCCGAATATCATTATGAATCGACCAGGTACTGGGAAGCATGAGGATATTTTAATATCCGAAGGTTGAGAAATTGAAAATGAATGATTACTTTAAAATAAAAAATATTCAAGCAATTTAGGATATAGAATTATTTGTTTATAATATTTGTTTATATCCCTGGCTAATGTTAACATCAGTGTTATTTCTCAAGTGACTTGCATTTTGACTTGATTTTCTTTTTTAATTATTAACTGGGTGTAAGCATCACATGGTTTTCAAAGAACTTTTCCCATAAAAATTAGCACACCTTGCGGTTCCTGAATACTTTTTATTTTCCCTGCTAATCCGATAAATAATGTTTAGCGTATATATTGGAAAATAAGCAAGTGCATTGTCTGAAAAAGCCCAAGTCATGGCAGCTGCCAAAGGAAGTCATGACTGTGGGATCCTCGTTCTCTGACTTTGCACCTCCCTGCCAAGTCCTTCTCCTTGATTCAAGCAGTATTTGTGGCATTTGAGGCATGCGGCACACGCTGCGTATGAGCTATTTTCTTAAGCCAGCTCCAGTGGCTTCCTTTAACCTTTTGGCTTTCTTTTGTTCGTTCTGTCTGAAGTGAATGTGTGCCATGTGAGGCATGTGTAGCATGCAATGTCTCCCTTTTGGCCCCTTCCTGCCTTATTGAAAGCATCTGTGAGTTATTTTTATATAGCTACTTTATGCCCCTTCATCTGTATGTGAAAATTCGAGCCACAAAAAGTGGCTGGTTGCTTTTATTTATAAGAAAGCCTGGCCTATTTTAAGAAAAGTATTTAAGGTGCTTCCGGCTTATGTGTTATTTGGGGAGAGCAGTAACTAAATTAGCGGATATATATGGAAAAGGCCAATTGTTTATTTTATTTAAGTGGATGAATTTTTTCCAATAAAAAATAAATTTCTTTTTTAATTGTCCTTTTTTGTTACATAAGAGAAAAAAAGCGCTAACCACTTCTTTTCATTTTTACTCAAGGACCTCTAATTTATTTCTGTGCCATAATTCATGGCTTGTTGCAAGCAGTAATCAAATTGCTTTTGAGCTCCTCAATCTAGACAAATTACCCGGCCACTCATCTATTTTAGTTTTTTAATTAAAGCCCAGAGCGAAGGCTGCATCCTCGGGGATTGTGGAAAGTGGATCGGCAATGGGAACGGGATCGGGATGTCCCAAAACATTTGCCAGACGCATCGGACATAAATCAAGTGAACGAGAACGGCTCCGACATGGACATGGCAGGACAACAAATCCAACAAAGCTGCTGCTGGCCCAGCTTCGATAGCACTTTCCCATGGCCATACAGAAATTTGTGAATTGCAGTTAGCCAGAATCGAGAAAAAGGGATTCGTGGGGGCGAAGGGCGTGTTCCCAGCCAAGGGCAAAGGCAAAGTTTTTGGCGTAGAACTAACGAGCATCAGTGTAAACTGTCGTCGCTGCTGTCGTCGTCGATGGTTGTTGTTCTAGCTGTCGCCGTTGCAGTTGCAGTTGCCCTTCTTGTTATTTTACCAGTTTCTCATTAAACTTAAAAAATTGTATACAAAGTTTGTATAAAGCTGGCATTAGTCGGTGGGTTCAAAGCCATGACAAAATTGTGCATACACTCAGAAAATGAATCGCCCTGAATTTTAGAAAATCGCCTATGGATTTGCTTCACTGGCGATTTTTTTCTTTAAAATAAAAAAATTTTCTACTGGTAAAGAAAATTTTCTTCCAATTAATCAAAATTCATTAAATTCAAGAAATATTCCAGAAATATAGAAAAAAATCGCCAGTAAAGCAAATCCATAGGCGATTTTCTAAAATTTTTTTTTGAGTGTAGCTAATCGGTTCAGGATTTTGTTATAATCAACATTTTTAATCGTTTTAATGGAATTGGGTGGTTTGGAAAACTGAACTAGGAAAATCTATTAAAATTTATATTGTTTTACAAATTGTTCTTTTATTGTAGTTAAAAAATAATGTTTATAATTTATTAAGGTTTAAAACGACTAAAGAAGCTTTTTAAACAATTACACCGAAAATATTTGATGTGATAATATATCAAACAATATTATCCGTTCATTATTTTAAAAGTATTTTAATTAGATTTATTTAAATTTGGAACTTTTGCCCCCTTTTTCTTTTAGTGCAAATCCCATTTATTTTCATGTTCAAATGTTTGTGATATTCTTGGTTCATTTAGAAGACAACGATATCCCTTTGTGATGGCCTCCCGAGTCCTAAACATTCAACTGACGTGAACTTGCTCCTTTTAGCCAAAGCATTCCCACTGGTCCAATGCCCTACAATACACCACATCCGTAAAGTTCTGGCTGGAAAAATCGCTTCAACTTTTGTTTTACGCACAGTGCCTTTGTCTTTTGCAAAATATTCACCAGGGACGGCAGCCGAAAAGTATGCAACTGCACACAATGCAACGAGAAATCGCAGCTGCAGGCGAAATGGGAGATGCTGGATGGTGGATGGGTCCTTCTTTTCGTCCTGGGGCGTGTTGTGCGCAAACTTTCGCAACATTTATCTTCGTTATTATGACGCTCGAATGGGCTATCAGCGCAAAAGTGGAGCGGCTGCTAAATATTTGGCCAGGCAAAAAGGAAACGCATAAAGGCTAAGGCAAAGGACGATGGGGATAAGAATAAGAAGAATGTCCTTAATGCCGCGATTCCACTACTTTTCTCTCTCGCTCTTGCTGTCTCCCTGCACGCAGTGTCTAAAAATGTTACAAGTTGTCAAACGTGCTGCGCTGGCTGCGAATTTCCGGTGATGCATTCGTAATCTCTTTCCGATGGAACAAATAGTGATTTTTGGTAAAATTAATAAATATAAATGTTTTTTAGTCATTAATAAATTCTCTAATTTGTTTGCTATTACCCAAAAAAAAATTATATTGCATATAGTAGTTACAAATAGCTTAGTAATTCTTCATAAAAAAAATCCATAAATATTATTCTATGTTTAGTAATTATAAAAAAAGTATCTATGAAGATTTTGTATCGCTTTAGATAGTAACTATAAATATTTCCCGTACTTGATTTTTTTTTAAATTATTAAACTATTTTTTAAAACTCAAAAATAATAAAAATAATTATGATTTTAATTTACTTTATAGACTGTTATTTTTGTTTGCATCTCTGCGGGGTCGCATATCCTTCGCCATCGCTGCATTTGGCAATATTGGAGCAGACAAAGCGCCATTTCCCA